ATTTGTGGAAGGTTCAACGTTCGTTCTTCGATTGAACTTTTATTATAAAAATCCCCGCCTTCGGCAATACCCAAACCGACATCAACAAAGATGCTTATACCGTATGGCTCTGTCCGAATCCAATAGTTATTTATATTAATCATTATCAAGACATTATACTTTGGTTTTCTTTTTTTGAGCATAAATAAAATGGTTCATTGAAAGGCTTTTTAAACAATATTTTGGCATTCCTATGACTTATGTTTATCTTTGATATGTAAAACCAAAATATGGATTTCGATATCATTATTATAGGATCAGGCCCAGGCGGCTATGTGGCCGCCATTCGGGCAGCCCAATTGGGAATGAATGTGGCCGTTATTGAAAAAGAATCCTTGGGTGGAATTTGTCTAAACTGGGGGTGCATACCCACCAAAGCGTTGCTCAAAAGTGCGGCCGTATACGAAAATTTATGCCATGCCCAAGATTATGGCATTATGGCCACGGGCATTGCAGTGGATTATGGACAAGTTCATGGACGCAGCCGTCAGGTGGCCGAAAAAATGAGCAAAGGCGTGGCCTTTTTGATGAAAAAAAATAAAATCACGGTCATCGAAGGTACGGCCACGGTATTGCCCAATAAGCAGGTGCAGGTGGTGGATGCCCAAGGTCAAACCCAAGTGCATCAAGCCAATCACATTATATTGGCAACAGGGGCGCATGGCCGAAGTTTGCCATCGGCGCCCATAGATGGCCAGCATATATTGGGATATAGAGATGTATTGACCCTTAACACATTGCCCAAAAGCGTTTTGGTGATGGGTTCGGGGGCTATAGGCGCCGAATTTTCATATCTGATGAATGCCATGGGCGTTCAGGTACATTTGGTAGAGGCATTGGATCGATTGGCCCCCAATGAAGATGCGGATTTGTCGGCCCAGTTGGAAAAAAGTTTCAAAAAACAAGGCATCAAAACCCATACTCAAACCAAGGTAATCCAAGTTCAAATTAACCCAAATGGGGTGGAGGTGGATTTAGAGACCCCCAAAGGCCCTCAAACGCTAACGGTTGAAAAAGTGATTTCGGCGGTGGGCATTGTGCCCAATATCGAAAACATAGGCCTAGAGTCATTGGGCATTGCCATAGAAAACGGCAAGGTGGTGGTGGAC